GCTGCTATTTCTCTTTCTTACTTCTGGGACTGGCTTAGAGAAAGGAAAAATTTGCCGTAAAATGTGGGTTTTCTTAAGAGCAGGTCCCATATTACAAAGTTGATTTAGTGCTGGTTTGCAGATTTTAATGCGCTCCTCTGTCTGATCTGGCATTGCAAAAGCTTAGTGTCATGTTCAGATTGAGGTATTATCTGAGATCCATCTTTAATCTGAACTTCTGTAGTAACGTTGACTTTTAACAATAGGCCCCCAGGAACCATGAATGGAGCAGAAGGAGTTACAAGTTTCATTTTCTTCCAAATATTTCATGTCATATATTACAGGGTGAAAATGTCTTCAGATAGGATTGTTTCGGTATTTTCAGCTAACAGAAACTAACATCCTCCTTGTTTAGGGTCAGCTTCTGTCTCAAAAGTGAAGCATCCACATGGAAATCTGTAGGCTTATTTCAGACTTTAATTTTACATTCCACTGATGTAACTTAAGTCGGAAGTTGATCATTAATGATTAATGATCACTGATTTTCAACAGTAATACTTCCAACAGTGTAGTTTTCCAGAGAAGTAACTTGCAGAGCTGCAAATAATGCTCCCATTTACTGTCGCAGCCCACCCTTAGCAATAAGGTTGCCACGGAAACTGCAAAACTCTGGGAGAGAGAAAAGGAGTGAGAATGAAAGGGAGAAGGGGGCAATTTACAGGAGTTTTTTCCTGAAGTAAATCAACTAGAACTTGTTAAAAATTAGGTTTCGGGGTTTTGGGGGTTGGTTTGGTGTTGTGGTTGTTTTGGCGGGGGGTGTTGTTTTTTTTTGCTAGGGTAGAGCCATAGCTTTTGCCGACAGTCCTTTGGACATGGAGCTGCTGGAGCAAATCCAGAGGACGGCCATGAGGATGATCGGGGACTGAGCACCTCCCGTACAAAGACAGGCTGAGAAAGTTGGGGCTGTTCAGCCTGGAGAAAAGAAGGCTGCGTGGAGACCTCATAGCAGCCTTCCAGTATCTGAAAGGGACCTGCAAGGATGCTGGGGAGGGACTCTTCATTAGGGACTGTACCCATAGGACAAGGGGTAACGGGTTCAAACTTAAACAAAGGAAGTTCAGGTTATATATAAGGAAGAAGTTCTTTACTATGAGGGTGGTGAAGCACTGGAATGAATTTCCCAGGGAAGTTGTGAAGGCTCCATCCCTGGCGGTGTTCAAGGCCAGGCTGGGCAGAGTCTTGGGTGATATGGTTTAGTGTGAGGCACCCCTGCCCATTGCAGGGGGGTTGGAACTAGATGATCTTAGGGTCCCTTCCAATCCTAACTATTCTATGATTCTGTGATTGGGTTTTTTTGTTGTTGGAGCGTTTTCTGTGTAGGACAGTAACCCAAGGTCTGACTCAGACACTCAGCATGGAAAAAAAACTGAGTGAGCCCAGTCTGTGTGTTTTTTGTTGTTGTTGTTTGTTTTTTTCCCTGCAAAATGTTTTGAAGTAGAGATACATAGTCACGGCTCTTCTTCATCACACTGATGGAAACTTCAGTGCCTTTCAATATTTCTACCAGTTATGAGTCTCCCATGAAATCACATGAACATGTAACATAGTCTGCGTGCAGGTATGTTAGAGACACAGAGGAAGACAGACTATGATGTAGTAAGTATGTACAAACAGAAAAGATAACTCAAAATCATTTAGAAATATTTTTTTATTAAAACAGCTACATACCTCTTGAGAAGGTTAGATCATAATCCTTTTTAGCTTGTATTGATTTTATCTTGTTTGTAACTACATCATCAGAGGTTGTCTTACGTAAAGCTGAATTAGGCTGATTAATACATGGATGAGAGATTTCTGGTATATATCTAGTTTGTGCAAGGAAGGCTGGTATTTTCCCTTCTGAATTAACTGATCAAGAGAAGAAATGTCCCCACAGGATGTTAGAAACCCTTGTGCTATCAAAACACTATCTTCTTACATGAGGAATCGACCATTTGTGGTGTTAAAGAGTCTTCAAGATAATTTACTATAGCAGAGCATTAACACTTGTGTCCATCATATTACAGTGTGAGAAATAGCATCCTATTTACTGATGGCTTAATGCTGCATCATAGTAACATTGTTTAGGACTTGTTGCAAAGAGGAATGTCAACTGTGATGGCCCTATGGCTACTTTTTGTATGCTGCCATTAAAATTAATAGCAGCATCTGTATTTAAATTTGTCTGGCATATTCACTGTTTCTTATAACTTAGCTAACCCAAATTCAGTTTGGATTTTTTCCCAAAGTCATTGTCTTTCTTATGCTCTTTTTTTTTTTTTTTTTAATTCAGTTTAGTCCACAAATGATTTTGCTGCCACTGGACCGAAGTTGAAACACAAATAGGCTTTCAGCAGAATTTTAACAATTTCTAGCACTTGTTTTTATAGAGTATCACAGTATCACAGTATGTTAGAGATTGGAAGGGACCTCAAAAGATCATCTAGTCCAATCCCCCTGATGGAGCAGGAACACCTAGATAAGGTTACACAGGAACGTGTCCAGGCAGGTTTTGAATGTCTCCAGAGAAGGAGACTCCACAACCTCCCTGGGCAGCCTGTTCCAGTGTTCTGTCACCCTCACTGAGAAGAAGTTTTTTCTCAAGTTTAAGTGGAACCTCTTGTGTTCCAGTTTGTACCCATTGCCCCTTGTCCTATCATTGTTTGCCACTGAGAAGAGCCTGGCTCCATCCTCGTGACACTCCCCTTTTATATATTTATATACACTAATAAGGTCACCCCTCAATCTCCTCTTCTCCAATCTATAGAGACCCAGCTCCCTCAGTCTTTCCTCAGAAGGGAGATGCTCCACTCCCTTAATCATCTTAGTTGCCCTGCGCTAGACTCTCTCCGGCAGGTCCCTGTCCTTCTTGAACTGAGGGGCCCAGATGCGGTCTCACCAGGGCAGAGTAGAGAGGAATGAGGACCTCTCTCGACCTACTAACCACCCCCTTCTAATACACCCCAGGATGCCATTAGCCTTCTTGGCCACAAGGGCACAGTGTCGGCTCATGGTCACCCTGTCGTCCACTAGGGCCCCCAGGTCCCTCTCCCCTACACTGCTCTCTAGCAGGTCGTTCCCCAACCTATACTGGAACCCGGGGTTGTTCCTGCCCAGATGCAGGACTCTACACTTTCCCTTGTTATATTTCATCAAGTTATTCCCCGCCCAACTCTCCAGCCTGTCCAGGTCTCGCTGGATGGCAGCACAGCCTTCTGGCATGTCGGCCACCCCTCCCAGCTTAGTATCATCAACAAACTTGCTGATAGTACACTCAATTCCCTCATCTAAATCATTGATGAATATATTAAATAATACTGGTCCCAGTACTGACCCTTGAGGCACTCCACTAGAGGCCTCCAACTAGACTCCGCCCCATAGACTACAACTCTCTGGCTTCTCTCCTTCAGCCAGTTCACAGTCCACCTCACTACCCGATCATCCAGACCACACTTCCTCAATTTAGCTGCGAGGATGCTGTGAGAGACTGTGTATAGTTAACCAAATTGTGTTCCTAGAACTAGATACTTTTGCTCATTCTGATTAAGTGATTCATATTTCTCTAAATATGGGTGACTAAAAGTCACCTTTTTTTTTTGCATTCAGGAGAGTTTCTTACTACAGGTTGTGTAACATAGCAGTTTTACTGCCTGTGTTTCCTGGTTTTGGTGGTTTCACCATCTTACATGGTTTACCTAGTGTTTGAATGATGTCTCCTACCTTTGCACCTACAACAAGTTAAATCCTTTTAGATCTCATCCTAAAATGGAAAAAAAAAGAGTAATTTCTCCCTTTCCTCCCTCTAGTCTTGTCCCCCTTCCTTTTGCTGCTAATAAAACTTACGTGCTTCTGAAGTACAGGTTACAGAGGTAGTTAATATAGATACAGAAAGGAAAAAGGTGTCAGCTCAGGATGAGCCCCCAAGAGTCACTTGGAGGGTGGAAAAGAACAGTCATGTGAGACACAAACTGTATTAGGGTGAGAGGAGGATCCTTTAGAAAATGGAACTGAAAAAACAATAGAGAAAAAAAACAATAAAGGGAATGGTCAGAGATGCCAAAACTACCAGTGGATCATAAGAAGTTCTGTACTTTGTCAGAGGCAGTGTACACCCTCTCACAATGTATGCATTGCTAGGATTATGTATTATTTTGCATGTATCAGTGTTGAATTTCTACCTGCCATTGCATTATTGAGCCAACAATGAGCTTATATTCCATGGCCATTTATTACTCGTGGTAGCAGTGTCTGGCTCATATCACTGTAAAAAGTTAAAAAAAAAAAAAAAAAAAAAAAAGGCTTAGTTTTAACTTGGATCTGCCTTACTAGCTGACCTGGCATTGGTGCATAGGTGCTTACAGAGAGAAAGGGTGACTTGAATATCTTGCTTTCAGTTGTGCTATGATAGTAGTCGTGACAATCTTATTTAAGGCTTGCATGGTATAGTCAGTGTGCAAGCTACAGGGATGTTGTTGGAAATGTCAGATGCATTATAATGTTTGGCAATAGCTAGATTTAACTAGGTGCTATTTTTAATTGCAGTTTATGCTTATTACAAGGTTTCCTAATTTAATTCATTATTTCCTGGACTTGGATTTGAACCTGCTGCCTGTAGGGCAAAATTACTGACCTTTTCTAGTCTCAAGAACTATAAAAGGCAAGGTTTTAAAACATTTAGTTCTTCCAGTTTAGGACTGGATTTATAAAGGAGATCAGCTCCCAGCCAGACACTGAAATAAGCACCAGTTTTCAAGCACCAGGTAATTCAGTGGCTACTACTCCCTTGCAATGTCTAATGTCAGATTTCCAGGAGAGCTCAACACCCTTTGGATGTCCTGGTAATGTTTCTGTGTCCAGTGAAGCAGTGTCAGAAGCTGGTCCTTGGAGAATAAACATGTTGTTTTTTTTTTTTTTTTTCCCTGCAAGGTTTTTTTTTTTTTTTTTTTTTAACCTTAATTTTTTTTTTTTTTTTTCCCCATCAGGGGTCTGTGAAGGCAAACTTGTAAAATCTGTGAATCTGCTGGTACTCAGGGAGAGCAATCTAACATCAAACGAAATGTGCGCATTCATGTTCCCATCCTGGATGTAAATGAACCGGCTGAATGAACATGTCGGGGAGAAACCCAGATCTGGCTTCCAGGTTTTGCTCACCTGCCACCCCTGTGGACACCCCATGCATTTTTTTGGCAACACCCTCTCTTCCATGGGGGCTTTGCGACCCACCCTCATCTGCTCAGACGCCAGCTGCATTTCCCAGTGTTGCTGCAAAAACGGTGCCGCCTGTGCTGGAAATGGGATCTTCCACTATTTAGCAAGGCTTTGCTGAATGAGTCATCAGAGCCGGCTGGTATTGGCTGGGCTGGTGAGCACCCAAGGGATTGCCTGGCAGAGGCTGAGAGGCCTTGCTTCATTCACAGAAATGTGGGGAAGCTAGGAGCCCTTTCATTCACACGCACAGAAATTCATTCACATTTTGCAGTTTTGCTAGCCACTTCTAATGAAGAGAACTATTTGGGAGCAGTAGGGTTTTCTGGGCAGTAGAATCACGTAAAAGTAGACTGCGATGTGTATATTTGCTGTTGCTATGCTAGGAGGATGAAGAGAGGAATGAATGCTGTGTGGATGCTGTAGCAGGTTCGCAGTGTGGTGATGAAAGGCTGTTCTGCAGATCACTAGAAACCTGCTTTTGCACTGACTAGGACATTGCTATTACTCATCACTGCTGGGATAAGAGGTGCTGACTTAATTTAATGTCATGAATATGCTAATCAAATACCTGTATTTGAGCTGGCTGTTTCACTGTATTTGCACTTTGTATACTGCAGCCTTTAGTCATGGGAGAGGGAAGGAATTCCATGGGATTTTTCCTTTAAATTGTGCTGCAATTAGTAATTTGTTTAAAAAGCAGTTTTGCACTATGCAAATTCCATAGTCTCAATTTGCTTATAATTCAGTGTATTGTCCTACAAGCAAATGATGTTTTGCAAAGATCAGTTTATATAGGAAAGCCATACTGGGGCTTGTGATGGACATTGTGTATCACAATGCTGCACGCATCTTGTTTTTTGTTTTTTTTTTTTTTTGTTTGTTTGGTTTTTTGTTTTGTTTTGTTTTTTTGTTTTTAAAGTAAGAGAAATGAAATTCCTGTTTTCTGCATGTTTTCCTACTTCTCGGGTCAAGTGTTTGTGGGTGACATTTTTGCTTAATAAGACATGGTGCATTCTTTTGTTTTTCATTACAGGATGTCTGTTTGCTGCTACCTGGACTTTTGACTGTTCTTTTAGGGTTTTTTTTCAGTTTTTCAGAATTGCACCAAATATTCCAATGAATTGGAGATCCTCTTAGTGTTTTCATTTGGAGTGAATATCAGTGGTTAAAGAAAAAAACATCTGTTAAGACTGTTGTCAGACATCAGAAAAATACATTTCTTCACACATCGGTACTTATGTAATTCCTGCATTAAAATAGAAGGTCGTTGTGGAGTAACAGGGCAGAAGAATTTCTTTCTCTATCAAGAATTTGATGTAACAGTTTCTGTGAGAGACAGCAGTGACACAAAGGCACTTGTCTTAGGCTGCTTTTGTAGAAGAAAATGTATATATCATTTAGTTCTGTCATCTGTTCTGAAAACCTTTAAGGTGTCAGTGTTTTGGAAGGGGGGAGGAGATACATGTGTAAATACTTTTAAAATATTTCCTAATTCTGACTTCTTTATAGATTCACAGATATCTGAGGTGGAAGAACAGTGTGGTGTTTCATCAGGGTTGTCAATTCAGTTTTAAAGGTAATTGCCTCTGGTACCAAAAGGGTGGTTGTGGTGATGAGGAATTAAAGGTTGGAAAGAAATATCTGTTTGAGAAGGTAGGGAAAGGAAATTTGAGAATTGATTGGTGCTAGTGTGCTGTAAGTGGGTGGATGGTTTTCTTCTTTTTTTTTCCCCCCCTTTTTTTTTTTTTTTTTTTTTTTTGCTACAGGAAGTGATTTGCAGTGTTCACTGAGCCTTTTGTTGAAAAGGGTCCTTCTCATTTGTGTGAGTCATGCTTTTGCTGTGAGCGAGTTGGCAGCTCTAAGCAGGACTGGGATCTCTGTCACAGAAAACTGTTACTTCACCCAACCTTCACAGGGAACCATAAGAAATTTCTTAAAAATATTTTTTTTTTTTTGTTCTTCCTTATACTCTTTTCTTTTTTACCCCACAACCTTGATATCTGTCTGTGTTGCTATGAATTGCCTGCTATGTTAGCACAGGCATCTCCTGCACTGGCATCAGATTTGCCAGAACATATGCAGGAAACCAGATAAAAGGGCATGCTTCAACGTACCAAGTATAACCGCTTCAGGAATGATTCGGTGACATCAGTTGATGATCTTATTCACAATTTGTCCATGAACAGCAAGGTCTCGGCAGTTTCTACGACTTCAACAACACCTTCGTACGTGGTCTCACCAGATGTTCTCCGCAAGGACCATGAAGATGGACCCACCACCCTGTGCACCCTTATCCATAAAGTGTCCCACTTGAAACTCTCTAGCACAGGCAGCCTTTTGGGTATCAAAAATCTCTCCTCTGCAGTAAAGGAGCTTGCTGTCTCCAAGTTGCAGGGAAGCTCAAGTGCTTCTGGCTCAGCAGCAGGGGCTTCAGACAACACATGTAACCTTGTCTCTGCCACTTCGTGTTCTCAGCAGGACGTGAGCAAGATGAGTATGGGGAAAAAAACACGGTCAGAGGAAATACACCCGGGAGGTGAAGACTGGAATCAAAGTAGCAGCTTTGTCAGTAAACCCTCTCGGGGATGGCTGCACTCGAGTGAGAAGATCCTGGGACCTGGTGTGACGTACGTTGTGAAGGTTGGTCTGATTTCTTCCATCCTCTGCTTTTATCAATAAAATGTTCTCTGCTGGTTTTGATGACAGGCTAGACAGGCTGAAAGGATTGCTATTTTATATTCCTTTTTTTTTGGTGCATAATGTATGGTATGTAAATGCAGGAAGGCAGATTGGGAAGCTGTGTTAATTCGTTAAATTAGAGCAAACCTGCAAATAGGTTTTTTGTCAGATAATGTGGTACAGCTGTGTAAGAACACTGTTTCTAAGCTAAAAGCTGGGATTTTTTTACTTTCTGGGTTTTTTTTCTTTTTGTTTTTTCCTTCTGGTGAATTTAGGTTTTCAGTGTTACCTAGTTTACTGTATATGTCTTGGATACATAGGCTTTCAATATGTCTGGTGAAATGTACAGGAGGAAAGAAAGACTCCTTGATGTGAGAAGAACTGTTAATCTTGCATGATAGTTTGGTTTGAAAATACTCTTAAGAATGTGTTTGCTTTTAATGAAATCTTAGAGCAGTAAGGCACAGAGCACAATTCTTCCTATGTTCCACAAATAGAAATACTGTCATGGGTACAGCAGGAAAAAGCAGCTTGTTTTATGTAATGGGAATTCAGCCACCTTAAATGTTACTGCTCTTTTCAGTTCCTTGATACAGTGTGTCAAGAGCAGAGAATTCTAAGTTTACTGGGTAGTATTTCCATATGCTTTGAAAGTATTTTGAAATGACCTGTTAAATTAGAGCTTTTGGATGAAGGGTATGTGCAGTGGGTCTGTAGTCAGGTAAGATTGTGGTTACACCTTCCTGCACTATGTGCAGAAAGTGTAAAAAATAACATTACTGTACAGAATTTGTTCTTCTGTCCCCATGTTTTATTTACTAAGTGGTGTTTGAATCTTAAGTGTTAAACTGTATTGTAACAGACTATTAATAAGCCTAGAGGTCTATTTTTAAGCTCATCTTATTTTGCGTATAAAAATCACAGTATGACTTTACATCAAGATGCTTTAAAACTGAGTGACAGTCTTGATTAATTCTTACTGTTTTTTCTGAAGTTTCATTATCAAAAACAGAGTGCACATTTAACAGTTGGAGCACTAGGAAGCAGTTTTTCTTTCTGTTAGTGGTGGTGGTAGATTGAATAAGTTGACCAATTCAGAGCAGTATTGAAATTGTACTCTCTTTTACTATAAAATTTACCAGAGCTACAAAAGAGTCAGTGCTACCTTTCAAAACACAAACTGCTGCTCTGTTGCTGTTCGAGAAGTGTCTAGATGAAAATAACCCACTGATGCTAGATATAGTAGTGTTGAGACCTCGAAGTCCTTTTGAATGGAAATATTCAGGTTAACAAGGGGTCATTCGCCATTTTACCATTTAGTTTTTTATTATGCTTTAGGATATTGTAAGTAGTCAGATAATGACTTTGAGAATTCACTGCTGCTGTTTGTTTTACCTGAAGTGGTCATCATGAAGCAGGACAAACACAGTACCAATTTTCTGGGTTTTTTTTTTTTTTTCAGTGGCTGACCTTCTGTATGCTAGAGAAAGCTGATATCCTTGAATTGAGAAGAGGATTAAAACTATATACAAGTGAACTTGCATTTAAAGTTAACCCATATCTAACACTGATGGTAGAACAGATATTTTAATTAGTGTAGCTGTTGTCAAATACATGAAAGTGTATTTGTACACATTACATGTATTAGAATTTTGAAAATAAATCATTAGCACTGTGCAACTTACATTTTAGGTGTTCGTTAGTGTCATTAAAGTATATGGAGTGCTGTTTCTATAAAAAAAAATAGAGTGGTATCTTTACATGCTCTCTGGCATATAAAGTTAACAGAGCAGTGCTCTAAATGTAAAAACAAAGGTAAAAAGTAAATACCAAAATCAGAGGTTAATGAGTGAATGAATGAAAATAGACCCATCTTGGTTAGTTCATAATTTGCCTGTTCATTAAGTATTTTAAAATTTTCCTCAGCAACTGCAGCATTCATATAGATAAGAATAGAAGCGCAGTTCCCACATCATTAAACATTGTTAGTTCCAGGGTTTTTATGCATTCAGACCATCAAATCAATACACAGATAATGTACACTGAAGGGAAACATTCCTTGAATGTTTCTCATGGCTATATTGACTATCTGGGGGACTCATACCGTGTTTAATTAGTACCATATGCCTTGCAGAAAATTCCATATGCCATTAGTTAAATGAGACAAAAATTAGATTTGTTGTTAACCAGCAAAGCTTTTATAATTTTGTGTGTAAATGTGCACTGAGTTACTATTTTCTTATTAATCCACATTCAGAACATGAAAATTGTATATGTGACTGTAAATTGCAACTGATGGGCAGTGTGATAACTAACATTACAATCTTCTGAAGTAAGAGACTCAGAAGTTCCCGTATGCAGTGTATTACAAGTCTGTAACTTTACTGCTGTCCCCACTTTTTCACATATTACCCATTTTAAAAATGGACAGTGTAACTAATGCTTAAAAAGTGGCTTTAGGATTGTGGTAAACAAGAACTGAAATTCATG